CTCCTCTATGATTATATTTTTCTCATATTTGGGGTTTTCACGTAAATCATACGAGGGGTATTTATAAAAGAAAATAATAATAAAATTTATCTCTTAAAAAATATCTTTAATGAAAAAATGAATGATGAAAAAAATCTTTTATCTAAAACAAAAGAATTGAGAATGATAAGTGTAGTTAAAGGTATCATGCTGACCTTTATTGGGGCACCTCCTTAGGAGCCCATTCCAAAAGGCCACCCAATTGGCGCTTACCAGCCCAATAGGCCTAACTTTGTCGAGGCCCAATTTTGTGCACGGATAGGACTAATGATGCTCTTTTGGGAAAAACTATTAGGTGCGGAGTGTGCATCATCCGCACAAATATGAGTACCTAGCAGTACCCAGCAGTACCGAGTGTCGGTACCTAGCACGGAATAAAGCTTGTGCTGACGGTTTGGGGTCTTCAGAATTGTTTTTTGTTTTTTTGAACTCAATACTTTCAAAGCCAATCAAGCCTCCACGATCAAATCCGAGTAGATTTTAAGAGTTTGATGTAAATTTTCTTAATAATTTTTGTTTTGAGTCTATCTACTTTTTTTTTTTTGAAGATTTAGCAAATAGCTCTTTAGAAAATTCACTTCATCAACATAAATATTGCGACAACATTTGAATTAATAAGCTTCAATGAATAAATTTAGGTCCATCCGAACTCAAATTTCAATATTTTTATAATCGAACTAAACATCTTCACAAGATAAATCCAACAACATCAAAAATGATCTAATTTTAAGGTCAAATGGACTCAAATGAATCGCTTGAATCATATTTGAAACTTCAGGTTGTATATAATGATCAAATGATCTTCAAATCTTATTTTGTTATAGTCAAACGAAGTAGCTTAGTGAGACATATCAATGAGCTCGAGATGATTTGATTTTAATATAATTAAGGCAAGAAATGATCTACGTTCAAGTGGACCAATATGAGTCGTTTGATGGAGTGGTTTGGGTTTAGCGAAAAATGCTAAAGTTTTTCTCTCAAAAAGGTAATAAATAGGACATCATTTTTCACAGTACGTAGTTGTTGGATTAATTTCAATCTAGCAGAACACTTTCTCATGCGATCGACACTCTCATAATCACTTTATTACTTGATCAACATGTATACTTGCATATCTAGCGAGCAATCTATATCAAAGAAAATTTAAGCAATAATTAACCCCAAGGCACATTTTATTATATAGATGTATTCAACTAACCATGCCACATTTTTTTAAACAATTTAATATTTTTATTTTCAAAATAACTTTATATTTGTATTTCCGATTTTATTTTAAACAAAATTCAAAATTTTTTGTATTTCCAATAAATTATAAACAATTTTCATTTTAATTTTTGTCATCAAGAGGAGTGGGCAAAGGGCGGTTCAAGGGTCGGATTTCAGTCCAACCCAGAACTGACAAGATACTATTCGACCCGAACCCGACACGTAAGTCTGCCACTGTGCTTATTTAGCCAAATCCCGTAAATCTGTCGTCGGACTGAGTAGGGAGAGGGAGCAACGACAGGAGCAAGGAGAGGCCGTATTGGCTTCAGGTGGCAGGACAGGGAGAGGTGGGTCGTGTCGAGTTAAGGTTAGGAGTTGGACTTCGGACCAAAAACTTCAAGCAGCAGGAGAGGGAGAAGCGTAGAGGAAGAGAGGTTGGAGTCGGGACTGCGGCGTTGCCTTCAGGCAACGTTGAATCGTGATTGCGGGACAACAAAAGTTTGAGTTGAAATTAGAAAATAGTGTGATTTTTTGATTTATTGTACTTTATTTATGTTTTGCATTTTACATTTATTATAACTGCTTGGTGAAAAGTCTATTCTAGATCTTTTGTTATGTGATTAAAATTTCACCACTTTTATACAATCATGTTTTAATCATTCGCTTCCACATCAAGTTAAGTTTTTTTTTTTTTAATTTAAAAATAAAAATAGCTGTTTATTTAACATAAAATCAAATATAAGATTAAAAAATTTCAATAACTATAGAAGTGTCAAAACGTGTTGACAGGGTCGGATACGTGTCAGACCCAAAATTAACCCAACCTATATCCGACATATTTAATAAACGGTTAACCTGAATGTTCCAAACTTGAATCCAATCTCTCAGCAACCCGAATGTCTCAAAACCGGACCCATTAATAAGTTTTAGTTGAAGAAAATAAAGTTAGTAAATTTGATTATAGCGGCAAGTAACAAAAATTAAGAAAAAAATATTAAAATTTTCATTTTAATGTGAAAAGTAAGTTCGCGGGAATCTAACCTATTTAATAAACAAATCAGAAAACCAATTCAAACCAGACCAATTTATTTAATGAGTGAACCCTAATTAATCTTTTTCGATCTAATTCAAAAAATGGATCAGGTCATTTATTGACACCCCAAAGCATAAATAATCTTCCACAAAACTTAGGTTTCGTTTGGGACAACGTTCATATTGCTTTCTAAAATAGTTTTAGTAAAAAAAATTGAATTAAAAATATTTAATTTAAAAGCAATAAAAAAATTGTCTCAAACCAAACCTAAGATTTTGTTTCAGACTGTTTTCTTAATATTTCTTAAAACAATTTTTTAATATAAAAATTAAAAAAATTGTACTAAAAATAGGGGCGGAGCCAGAAATTTTTATTAGTGGGGACACAAATTAATGAATTTTCAAATTATTCTCAAACTTTAGTTAAAATTTTAATAAGTAAAATAGTTAGAAAAAAAAATATTTATACACTGAAATTTTCTAAAAAAAAATATTGAGCTACTCCCCAAAGTTCATTTTCATTTTGCTAATTTTAAACATATTTTCATATTCAAATAAAATTAAAAAATTAGATTATATCATAAAAATTAAAACTAAATTTACAAAACGGTTCAATCAAATACTTTAATGGTTGGATCTAACAGACGATTCTTTACAATTTTCATGATGAAGAATGCTCGTTCGATTGTTGTTGTAGCAATTGATATAATATAATAGAACAATTCTACTTACTTTTAAATAAAAAATAACTTACTTGAGTTGGCTTTGAGATCATCTTCTCAACAATATATATAACTATAATTATTAAATTCTCTTATCTAAACTTCCTATCAATATAAAAAATTAATATAAAATGCAACTTGAATCAATTCTATAATATTTTTCACTTTTCTCTTATTTATGAAAACATATATATGTATCTTCATATTTTTATTAGATTTTTAAATGCTTTTATTATATATTGTAAAGTAAAAAATCTAACAATATTGAACACATTCTTAGCAAATAAACAAATAACTTTAAATTTCTTTTTCAGAAAAAAAAAATGATAAAAAGAGAGACTCACAAGTAACAAATCTTGAGAGAGAGAAAGAGAGTTGAGAATACCCATAATTAGGTTTCGTTTGGGACGGCTTTTTTATTGCTTTCAAAGACGGAGTTTTAGTACAATTTTTTTTTAATTTTGTATTAAAACTCCATTTTAGAAAGCAATAAAAAGCCGTCCCAAACGAAGCCTTAATCTCAATTTTGAGTACAGATGGCTTGCGAGCTGTGGCTTCAGGCGTGCGGAAGAAAGAACAGCAAGCAAAGGGATTTAGATTAATGCTTATTGCCTCATTTTGTTTTAACCTTGTATATCAAATACAATACCTAATTTAAAAAAAAAACATTGGCCAATGGGGGCACCTGCCCCGTCCCTAAAAAGTTGTTTTAAGAAACAGTAAAAAAACAGTTTTAAACAAAGTCTAAAGCTTCGTTTGGGACGACTTTTTTATTGCTTCTTAAAACAGCTTTCTTGTATAAAAATTTTAATTTTTATACTAGAAACCAGCTTTAAGAAGCAATAAGAAAGCCGTCCCAAACGAAGCCTAAGGCTTAGTAGGCTTCGTTTGGGACGGCCTTTTCACTGCTCCTTAAAATAGCTTTTTAGTAAAAAAATTAATTTTTTTTAATAGAAAGCTGCTTCAAAAAACAGTAAAAAAGTCGTCCCCAAACGAAACCTAAGACTTCTTTAGGTTTCGTTTGGGTTAACTTTCTTATTAAAGCAGCTTCCTGGAAAACTTTTATGCGAGCAGTGGCTTCAGGCGTGCCGAAGAAACAACAACAAGCACAGGGATTTAGATTAATGCTAATTGAACTCATTTTGTTTTAATATATCAAATACAATATCTAACTAAAAAAAAATCATGGGCGAGTAGGGGCACCTGCCCCCAGTCCCCCCACCCTGCCTCCGCCAATGACTAAAAAGCTGTTTTAAGAAGCAATGAACTGCTTCTGAAAATAGCTTTCTAGTAAAAAAATTAAATTTTTTGTAATAGAAAGCTGCTTCAAAAAGCAGTAAAAAATTCGTCCCAAACGAAACTTAAGGTCATCTCCAACCAAACGCTAAACGAGTGTATGGAGTCGTTCCATCGCTCCAACCGAACGCGAAAATTTCCGCCATTTGATTGCAGGTGAACAGTGGGACGCCAATATTGGTGTCGCACTATTCACTCATGCCATTTTCTGCTCTCAACCGGAAAAACACGCGAAAGGGAGAGCGATCGTTACCTTCCTAGAAACACCTAAAATGGCGTTCGATTGGAGCATCACCACGCCATTTTGAAGTTTTGCGTTACTTTGCCGTGAAAATTGAAGTTATCGGTTGGAGATGCCCTAAGACTTCGTTAGGTTTCGTTTGGGTTAACTTTCTTATTAAAGCAGCTTCCTGAAAAACTTTTTTAAGAAACAGCTTCCTAAAAAGCTGTTTAAGAAGCAAGAAAAAAAAGCCATCCAAAATTGATCTTATAGATGTAATTGCGGATAGCTGCCGGTGTGATTATTTTAATATCTTGGTGGAGAAACTGAAGTGTGAAAAGAAATTAATGGCAAGACGAAAGTCTTACAGTTCAAAGAGTAACGGCTTTAAAAACCTTATCCTGTGGAGTTGATCACGATGCATTGATAAAAAACAAGCACGTTACGTATATTTTATATTAAGAGCTTTTGATTTTAGTTACAGAATGATCGACCAGCTACACACAGATCCATCCATGGAGGAAGAACCAGGCAAGCTTCACGTAGTCATGCTGCCATGGCTGGCCATGGGCCATCTCCTCCCTTTCTTCCAGCTCTCCAAACACCTTTCTGCTAAAGGCATCCGGATCTCCTTCTTCTCCACCCCCTCCAACATCCACCGCCTCCTTTCAATCCCCGAAACCCTAAACCCTTTACTGAACTTCATTCCTTGTTCACCCCCTCCCATCAATGGCGCTCCCTCCTCCACCATCGATAACACCATCGATCTCCGCTCCGACGCGGCCAGACCGCTGCTTCAAGAAGCCTATGCCGGCTTCGAGCACCACCTGACCTCCTTTCTCTCCGACCCTTCTCACCCCAAACCAGACTGGATCATCTACGACTTCGGCGCCTTAAATTGGGCTCCTTCCCTAGCTTCCCGATTTAACGTCAGCTCTGCTTATTTTTGCCTCATCAACGCCGCAGCAGTCACCTTTTTCATCCGCGCCAACGACTTCGACTCACCGGAGACGCTCACAAAAGTGCCGGATAGTATCCCGTTTCCCACCACCGTCGCCTTCCGCCCATTCGAAGCTCGCCAAATGTGCTCTGTTCTTCCCAAGAAAACAGATCAAACAGAATCCAAACCACGGAGTAGTAGTCAATTGACACTTATCAGAACCTGCAAGGAGTTCGAGGAAAAATGGGTAGATCTGCTTGGCAACGACGGATACCTCCCCGTCGGCTTCCTCCTCCCATCTATCGACAAGGCGGAAGAGAGTGAGGCATGGATGAGAATATGCGAATGGCTTGATGAGCAAAAGGAACACTCTGTGATCTACGCTGCTTTTGGATCTGAGGTAATTCTTACGACAGAGCAAATTGATGAGATTGCATTAGGGTTTGAGAAGAGCGGATTACCGTTCGTCTGGGTTCTGCGAATGGGTTCGCCACCGCAGGGGTTTGAGGAGAGGATTGCCGGGAGAGGTTTGGTGTGGAGGGGTTGGGTTCCCCAGGCCCGATTGCTTGCCCATCGGGCAGTCGGTGGGTTTCTGACACACGGTGGGTGGAGTTCTGTCGTGGAAGGGATGGTGGTTGGGGCGGCGATGGTGATTTTGCCGATGCAATTTGATCAGGGGCTGACGGCGAGGCATTTGGCGGAGAGTGGCTATGCAGTGGAAGTGGCGAGGAATGATGAAGATGGCTCCTTCTCCGCAGAGGAGATTGCGAGGAAGTTGAGGATGGTGATGGTGGAGGAGGAAGGAGAGGAGCTGAGGAAGAATGCGAGGAAAGGGAAAGAGATATTTGGGAGTCAAAAGCTTCAGGAGGAGTACATAACTGAGCTTGTGAAGATTCTGTTGCAGAAACGTACGATGGTATCTGAATCTGTTTGATTTGGAAATGTTTTTTTTTTTTTTTTTTTTTTAGTTTTTTTTTTTTTTGAACGGGTATCCATTAGTTGCCATCTCAGTTTGTGGAAAAATTATTCTGTGAGGAATCAGAACATGTTTGGAAGCAAATTCGGGCATGTCACATCACCGGGGTCCAGTGCATCAGGTGACGTGGCGTGTTCGGATTCGTCTCCGAATACATTCAGATTCCGTACATAATAGTCTCTCTAGTTTATGAGTTACGTGTTTGCCGGAGTGACTAGTCCTCAACTGACCTAAAAGCGGTACCCACCATCTCCTGACACAAATTTAATGGGCCCCTACTTAAGGGCAAATTATTATGTCCGGTGTCCGAATTCGTCCGGATATCAATCCAGACTGGCACATCACCCAAATGCACCGGACCCCGGTGTATTTGGGTGACGTGGCAGGTCTGGATTGGATGTCCGAACATCAGGTGACCAGACGTAATAATCGCTCATACTTAAGGAGTGATGCCGCTCGAGAGAAATCGATTGTGGGTTGGGGGTACCCAACCGCGCTCGCCCACCAATCGAACTAAGCATCGGTGGGTTATTTTTTGTTCTAAGAGTATGTTCAATTATTTCAATTTATAATAATTATGAACTATAGTATTTGTTATCCTAAAAATGCAATGTGTCCCTTTGAAGTAAAAATAATCATTTAAAACTCCTAAAATTCTTTTGAAAGCTTTAGTATAATATAGTAAATTTTATAAATCATTATTTAATAAATCTTGTTTGGGCTAAATTCAATTTAATTAAAATAAGTTGTGGATACTTATCTTATGAGTAAATATTTTATATGATTATGATATATTCTTATATTTAGTTAGTATATACAAATCTTAATTTGACTAATTAAATTATATTTAGTGTAAATAATTATCTTGATTAATCATTTATTAATACTTAGTGAACTAGTTAAATAATAACTTCTATTTAGATAAATTAAATTAAAAAATAAAAAATAATATCAAGTTACTTAATTAAATATGTTTTAATTAACTAATACCAAGTATTAAAATTAAATCATTTTTTAAATTATAAAAAAGACACTGATTGATTAATAATTAGGAGAAACAAACATCCTAATCAATTATCAAATACCAATTTACAATCCACAAACAGATCAATTATAATAAATTTTATTTAATTAAGTTAAACTATGAATAATATTAATGTATTTTAATTAATTTACTTTAATTAATCAATATAGTTCTGTTTAATTTAATTATAATATATTATCTATTTAATAGATAGTAATACTCATAATTTTAAATTTTCAAAGCCCTCTTCTTTCTCTACCCAACCATCGTCAGCTCCTCCATTAGGGCATCTCCAACCGAAAAATCCATTTTTCGCTCCAAAATATTGTAAAATTTCAAAATGCTGTCATTATTCTCCAATTGAATGTCATTTCTTCTTCGTGCTCTTTTCCAACGAAGGTTACTATCTTTGGCGCGCTTTTCTCCTCTTCGCGCTCTTCTTTGACAAATCTCGCAGCGAATTTTTTGCTTAGGTGAACAGTCCGACGTCATTATTGACTTATCCAATAATTTTGTAAATATGAATTTATAAGATTTATATTACCCCTCTGTTTCAATTTCTGCTCTGCTCTTTCATTTGTTTGTTTTACATTTTTTTTACTACCGTACTCTAAAATATATATTAAGATAGTTTATCCTAAAATTAAATAAATATGCCATATATTTATTTAATGGACGTAAAATTTCAGAAGCACCCCCTTCAATTTTTTATAATTTTTACATGATTGGGATGGCTTATCCACCTCTAAGAGATTAAAAAAATAATTCTTAAACAAAAAATAAATCATTTTTTATTTTAAAATATTCTTTAAATCGAATTAAAATATAAATTTTTTTTTTAAGGGGTTCTTGAAAAATATACATCATCAACAACAACATCAAGCCTTTGTCCCACTACATGGGATCGACTACATGAATCATTTTTCACCATTGTGTCATCTTAAAAGTCAAATTATCATTTAAATCTTTTATTAAGGTAAAGATCATTTCTAATATTTTCTAGCCAAATCTTTTTAGGTTTATCTCTACCTTTCTTAACATAAGTCAAATCTAACACCTCAACTTTTCTAATCAGGTCATCGGAAGGTTTTCGTATAATGTGATCAAATCATCTAAGGTGACTCTCTCTAATCTTATCTTCTACTGGAGCTATTCCAACATTTTCATGTATATGCTCATTTCATAGCCTATCTCTAAGGATAAAGCCACTCATCCACCTAAGCATCCTCATCTCTGCAACACTTAACTTAGTATTATGCTTCATTTTTAATGGCCAACATTCGACACCACAAAGCATTGCAGGTCTCACCACCATCTTATAGAATTTTCCATTAAGTTTGAGGGAGACTTTTCTATCACACAACAAGCTCGATGCATTCCTCCACTTCAACCATCCAACTTAAATTATGCTGATAATATTCCTATCTATTTCACCATCACTTTGAAAAATAGATTCAAGATATCTAAAAATTGTACTCTTATTAATGACTTATCACGAGGTCTATTGCTACTAAAATAGCATTCCAAATATAAAATTCTTTTTTGGAATTATATATTTGAGCTATTTACCCAATTTTTTTTAATAAGTTTTCAAAATATCAAAATTTTCCTCTTCTATAAATCACCGTCCATCAAATTTGGCATTATTGTTCCAAATTTTAGGCTGCTATGAAGCTTTTCATTCTTTTTGTTGTTCAGATCATTATCATAATTTTTTTAGTATTAATTATTTAATATATTAATATATAATAAAATTTGAGTTTTTATAATTAATTTATTAATATATGATAGTAGAAATAAAAATTAATTATGAAAATATTATAATATTCACAATATTTTTAAAATTTTATTTTTCTAACGGCTACTTTAAGAGAAGCTGCAGCCCAAACGAGCTTCTCCTTCGGCAAAACTGACAGTCAAAAAACTTTCAATCGCCACTGCAAATAATCCGCGTGAAAAGCGTAGTTCAAACAAGCTCCACCACCTTCCACAGATCAAAACTTTCTCCTCTATTATTTAGGGTTACAGAAAAGCTAACCGCTCCGGCCTCCAAGGACTCACATGTCAAAACCCTTCATCTCTCATCAACACACATCGAAAACAGAAATGAAAACCCTAAGCAGCCGAAGGACTGAAAGATACCAGATCACGGACGCTGTTGCGGAGCCAGGGGCGAACGACAACGACGGCGTCGAAGAAACGCGGATCGCCGGTGAGGGTATCGACGGTGGCGACGCGAATCCAGTACTTAATGCCGGAAACCACCTGTCGGCCGGCGCTCGCCACGCCGGAAAAGGCGAGAGGGCTTTCCGCGACGCCCCGGAGGTCGTGGTTGTATTTATTTACAGAGTAGCGGCCGAGGTCGCGAATCTCTTTATTCGATTCGGCGTTGGGGATCTCCGTCCAACCCCCGACTTTTTTCCCGCGATCAAGGCCGGAATCGAACCGGTGGCTCGCCGCCGTGAGGAGGGGAGAGGCGGAAATTAGGAGGATGAGGAGGAGAGCGAAGCAGGGGATCGTGAAGGAAGCCATGGATGAGTGATGGAGATAGGGTTTCTAGGTTTGAAATCGGGAATTGGGAGAGTTTGTTTGGTGATTCTGTTCGGAGTTTAGTATTTGTAGCCGAGGAGAGGCACGCGAGTCCAGAGGGATAAGCGCATCTTTGTGTTATCTACTCGGGAATGCGTCCGTTAAAAAAAAAAAACTCGGGAATGCGTCCGTCAGCTTATATGGTTTTGAGCTTCTTTATTGAAAATAATTACTAACATGCCACTACAAAATAAAATAGGGATAAAAATATGATTTCTTTCTACTTTCTAATGTTTCTTTCTTATTTGGGGGTTTTCTTAATGTTTTTTGAAGTAATTTAAAAAATTTTAGTTTTTAAAAGTTAATTCTAGGTCTACTTTGGACGGTTTTTTTACTGTTTCTTAAAGCAGCTTTTTAGTACAAAAATTACTTAATTTTTGTACTAAAAAGCTGTCTGACACCGGACCAGAGGGGGCTCGACAAATCCACGTCGATGATCCGGTGGTCGTGGCCGGATAACTCCAAGAACTTCTCGGAGGAGAGAGATCACCACCTGAAATCCTTCAGGATACAGAAATCCAAAACAAGAGTAAAACTACTCAATTCTTATTCATCTCCCCAAAATCTCCTATTACAATGAATGGCTAGGTATTTATAAACAATTAGGCAATCTAAAAGGCTACATTCAATAAAAGAAAGCAACATTCCTATTTAGCCATATAAACTACTAGAATTAATATAGCCTGAAGTTTAACAGGTTTTAACAGCTCAGCTCCGGCGTCACTGCCTTAAGAAACATATAGAAAGTCATCCCAAACGAAGCTTAGAATATAATAAAAAAACTGTCACAAACGAAACCGAAGAGTGTTTAGGATAACTTTCTTATTACTTTGCCTTTCAAACTTTATTTAAAGTTCTATTTGATTATTATTTTATCATTCTTTTACAAAAAAAAATATTCATGAAAACCAATTTTTAAAATAGTTTTCAATAAAATTATTTTTTCGATAATAATTTTACAACCACATTTACAAAATGCTATAATAGTCTTGAACATACACTAAGATATACATTTCTAATGAAAAATTATTATTACTTTTATTTAAAAATATGATATAAATTATATTTAAATTGTATAAATTTATTTTGGGATTAAAGTTGTATATAAAACTTTTCTATTGTAATAATTTCAAAATAAATATAATAATTTTCATACTATCAAGATTTAATTTGTATTAAGATATTAGGAGAACATTTTATTTATATCTAATGCTCATTTAAAAATGCTGAATTAACTAATGATGTATCTATATATTGGATATTTTCATTTAATCAAAAAGGAAATTAATAAAATTTGAACGTCTGCTTTGATAAATTTGTTGTGAATTTTGTTAAAAAGAAAAACAATATTATTTTTCTCACATATTGGCTAAAAATATCTTAATTTGTTCATGCATTTAGTTAGCACATAAGGATTGATGCAACATAAAATTATTAAAATTTTGCTAATAAATAATTTATGGGCATCATATATAAAATTATAAAAAAAATACTATCAAGAAAATTAAAGCAAATAAAATAAATATATATTATATATTTAAAAAATACATTTATTTCTCAAAAATCATATCATAGTATCAAACTCTCCTTTCCTCAAAAGAAACCCAATGAAACTAATGATTTATGATAAAGAAATGGTGATTATAGCGCTTCTTTTTTGGCAAAATATTTGTCTTTCTAAGAGAAATCCAACATAGTAGATAGATTATGAATCGAAGGTCATAAATGTCATAGGAATACGAAAAAATAAAATATCTTATTGACATACTACATGCAATCAACTGTGATTTGACATGATCAATTACTATGACAGTGATGCTTCTGGGAGTCGATTTTGTTCTCCCCAGTCTTTAGAATGATTGTAATGGCGACACCAACACGATGAGCATGAAAATCTGTTAAGCCAAAATGATTGTCCGACCTGTCGTCCCCAGTCTATGTCCATCGTTCTAACAACAACCATGCGATCGCACGGCCTGTCTATGATGATCCGTCATGTCCAATTCCATCGTCTCCTAAGCCCGCTCCCTAACTAGACCATCATTTGATCCCCTAGTATTATAAAAATAAAAGAATGTATCATTAATAAATAAATTTATATTCATTTTACAATCAATCAACACTAAAAAAGTATTTTCTTTTAATTTATGGAGTAGGTATGATAATTTTGTCTTATCAATAAGCTATTGGACATATCAAACCAAGCGAACTTGATAGGTTATGCAAACATTTGATCTGATAGATAATTATTTGAGATCGACATTTTAAGTACTACTTGTTAGGGTAATTCAATAAGCTTTGATATTAACTACTTGGACACCCAATAATTAATGACCCTTAATATCTCATTAGGACATATCAATATTTAATATTATTTACATATATTAGGTATAAAATATATTGGATTTAAACAAAATATAACATACAATATATAAAATTAGATGATTTTTAAGGAAAAAAATAGCCTAAAACTCTAAATTGGATGCATAATTATTTACTTTATTGTGCTTTATTATACACTATTCATATTATTTGTAAAATTTTTAAAAAATATTATTTCTATTTTAATGAGACTAATTTAGTCTAAATATTTATTGTTTAATTATCAAATTATATTATTGTGTGGATATATGATAGATATTTGCTTTCTAATATTTATTCTTAATTAACCGATTCGATTTGGGTATGAATTCAAGATTCTTTTTTTTTTTTTGAACTCACATTCTTTTTTTTTTTTTTTTATAGAACTCACATAGTGGCCTACATGTTAATTTAGAAAGGGGGATTATAAGTTCTTAAAGGATCGACATCTCACTAAAAATACAATATTCCAAGAAAACCTACGAGCCATCAATCCAAGCTATTACAATAATTAAGCAAAAGGAAAACAGAACGGAGAGATCCAAAGGAAAACAAAATTAGAAAAGTCAAAGCCATCTCAATGCAACCACCAAAGCTGCAGGACAAAGCCATCAACAAATCAATCAACAACCAAAAGACCTGAATGAAGCCAAGGTCAGCACAGTGAAAAGGTCCAAGAAAACCTCCAAGCTATAGCATATGCAGGGAATGAAATAAAAAAATAATGACAAAGAACAACCAACCAACTAACAAAAAATAAAGCTAATCGACCATCATAGAGAGAACACTCCACCCGACCCCCATCCCAACACCTTAGCCTTTCTCAAACCCAAACAACACGGCTGAACACCAATCAAACCCCACAGCCCAACCTCCAACCCAAACACTCTCAGCCGAGCAAGAAAAACCCAACATGCACATCCAAAGCCAAACAAAGACACATAGAGCCCAACAACCAAAAGACCACAACAACCAAAGGATAAAGAACCATCCAAGAGGAGGGCCAACCATAGAAGCCAGGAACAAAATAACAAGATTTACTTCTTTTTAAAATTCCGCCAACGACGTTTGCCATCCTTTTGCCATCCTTATGGGAAAAAACTTTTTCAACTGTGCAACCCACATTCAAATCATACGTGCCCATCTAAGTCCTCCCCATCACCCCCGCAAGGCGAGAAAAAAAATCCATCAAGCCAATCAAATTGATCCACAAAAGAATACTTCATTTTCAATGTCAATTGCACTTTCAAAGCATCATTAGCAATAAGAGAAACCGGAATATCAATAAGTGGCATATTCCAATTGTGACAAAACATCCTCTAAAGAAGCCAAGGGTGATTCGTCAGAAGCAACAATAATTCCACTAGAGGAATCATTCAAACCCACCATGTTAACATCACAAACCCACATATTCACCACATCCAACTTATCATGAGACAAACCAATAACAATTTCATTCGGATCCTTCTCAACAACAACATGTTTATGATCACAACCAAGCATGATAAGCAATTTGTTAGCATTCTCAATAATAATACCCTCACAAGCCTCTTGAACGAACCAAGACAAATCCACTAAAGGTGAGACACATTGAATACCAGAGTTAGTGACAATAGGAACAAGTGAATTTTTTACTACCATGTTAGTATTAATAATATCAATATTCTCCTAAACAGGGCCAACAACATGAAGAACCAAAGGGACATCAAAAACTAACTCGACAGGCTTCACCGAATGCCCCGCATCACTAGCAATCAAGGGGTGATATTCAATGAACCATCACAAACATGGTTTTGCCCATTTTCTTGCATGCCATTAGAGATCCTTTCACGCACATTAATAGAATCAAGATGGGGGTGTAAAATGCGACATACTAAGTTCAAATGGCCCGACGACTTGCAATGAGTACAATAAGAAGGAAAATCTTTCATAATCACAGACTGAATATAATCTAAGTTTTTGTGGCCAAACCAAGCTCTATCAGGAAAATGTTTGGTGATATCTAACTCAACCAAAACATGAGCAACATATGGTCATAAGCTGCTAGAAGTGGCATTATCAGTTTTAAGAGGTCGGCCAAACAAGGAACCAATACCGTGAAGGATATGAGGAGAAAAAAAGTGAGGTTTAAGGTTGGGAAATGAAACCCAAATTATGATGACGTGGAACTGCACCTCAATATCAAAAGTAGGAATCCATTTGAACAATTTCATAAAGTAATTATTCACAAATTAAGAACGGTGAGTGAACACTCTAAAATAATCGAAGTCATTGACAAGCTTGATTAACACATGCTTCGGGTTGAGAATAGTAACCGAAAATTCACCAATAAACTTTAGATTAAAAAAAAAATTAGTGTGACATCAAGAGCGAGTCTACAACCAGAAAATTTGCCAACAAAAGCGAACTCTAAAAGGGCAACAAGTGCAAGAATTTCATTTTCTAAAATCCACAACGACGGTAACACACGATAAGAAGTAATTTTGAAATCATGAAAATTAGGAGATGGAGAAACACCAGATAAATCTCTATTAGGGCTTATCAAGTTGTTAATCGGATATGAATTCCATTAGGGCTTATCAATCTCTATCATACAACTAAATTTCATATTTAAACAGTTTAGTTTATATTAATTGAATAGTAAATTTTCTATAAATATAGAATTTTACTTTATTTCTCTCTAAATTATTTTAATCATTAAATGATATTAAAATTATTATTAGAATTAATTCAACTAAAATATATATATTTTTAACATGCATAAATATTAATAATATTATTAATAAATATAAATAACTTTAAAAAATAGATATAAAAAAAAGGCAGAGATAAAAAAATAAAACTTACTGAATCAAACTGGCTCTGCCACCACCTTCCGTTTCTCCCATAGCTTCTTCGCGAGCTCATCAAGATATTCCTCCTGCAGCTTCTCACTCCCAAAAACCTCTTTCCCCATTCTCGCCTTCTTCCTCAGCTCCTCTCCTTCCTCCTCCACCATCACCATCCTCAACTTCCTCGCAATCTCCTCTCCAGAAAAGGAACCATCTTCATCATTCCTCGCCACTTCCACCGCGTAACCACTCTCCACCAAATGCCTCGCATTCAGCCCCTGCTCAAACACCATCGGCAAAACCACCATCGGCGCCCCAACCACCAACCCTTCCACCACAGAATTCCACCCACCGTGGGTCAGAAAGCCTCCAACAGTCCGGTGGGCCAGCAATCGGGCCTGCGGAGCCCAACCCATCCACACCAGCCCTCTTCCGGCCGTCCTCTCCTCAAACCCTTGCGGCGGCGAACCCACCCGCAGAACCCAGAAGAACGGTAATCCACTCTTCTCCAACCCTAATGCAATCTCATCAATCTGCTCTGTCGTAAGAATTGCTTCGGATCCAAAAGCTACATAGATCACAGAGCTTTCCTTTTGCTCATCAAGCCATTCGCATATTCTCGTCCATGTCTCGCTCTCTTCCTCCTTGTCAAAAGATGGGGGAAGTAAGCCCACGGGGGCGTATATGTCGCCAAGCAGATCTACCCATTTGCTCTCGAACTCCTTGCACGTTCTGATAAGCGTAAATTGGATGCTCTGTGTTTTGGGCTCTGTTTGATTTGATTTTTGGGAAAGCATAGAGTAGACATGGCGAGCTTCGAATGGTCGGAAGGCGACTGTAGTGGGAAACGGGATACTATCCGGCACCGTTGAGAGTTTTTCCGGTGAGTCGTAGTCTTTGGCGTGGATGAAAAAGGCGACTGCGGCGGCGTTGAAGAGGCAAAAGAAGGCCGAGTTGACTTTAAATCGGGAAGCTAGGGCTGGAGCCCAACTTGCGGCGGCGAAGTCGTAGATGATCCAGTCTGGTTTGGGACGAGAAGCGTCGGAGAGGAAGGCAGTGAGGTGGCTCTCGAAGGTGGCGTAGGCTTGTATAAGGAGAGGTCTGGCCGCCTCGGAGCGGAGATCGACGGTGTTCTCGATGTTGGAGGTAATGTTGTTGATGGAACAGGAGATGAAGTTAATATTGGGGGTTATGGATTGGGGGATTGAAGGGAGGCGGTGGATGTTGGATGGCGTGGAGAAGAACGAGATCTCGACGCCTTTAAGAGCGAGCCGCTTGGAGAGCTCGAAGAAAGGGAGGAGATGGCCCATGGCGAGCCATGGCAGCATGACGATGTGAAGCTTACTTGCTTCTTCTTCCATGGCCGGAGCTTTGTGTGTATGACTGGCTGATGATTCTGTGCTTTTTGATCGGATAAATGGGTTATGGTTTTGGAGAACGATTTGGAGAGTGGAGATAGAACGACGACCGTCTGACCACGCCGTCTGTGGCTTGGCGTATCCATCGGTCGCCGGCGGTCACCGCCAAAATACAATATTTTATTTTAACAAGATAACTTTTTTCTTTTTAAGACCGATTAAGAAAAACTCACTCGCAATATCAAGAACTCATAATTGATAGTCAAAATTAGGGCGGCAAACGAACCGAGCCGAGCCGAGTATGTGAGTGTTATGTTTGTGTTCATTTAATATCAGCTTGTTCAAGTTTGGTTCATGTTTGTTCGAGCTTTATTTTTTGTGTTCATGTTTGGTTCATTTAAATTTATGAGTGTTCATGTTCGATTCATGTTCAGTTCATGTTCATTTCATGTTCGTTCGTTTAGTGCTTATCGAGCTTGTTCGCGAACATATTTAATGAATTTTTTTTAACTATCAAACAAATACGTTTATGAACATATCTATGAACAAACATATTTATAATAAAAGCAATTGTCTATGTAACAAAAGCAATGATTATTTATATTTATTAATTTTGTAGTCAAATATTGATTATTTTTATCTAGCTTATTCACTAGTTCAAAATCAAACATGAATCATGCTTTTATCGAGCTTGTTCACGAACTTCAAATGATGTTGTTCGCGAACATAAATGAGCCGAACGCATTAGTGTTCAAGTTTGTTTATTTAAGAATCGAGTATTTAAAATACTGTTCAAGTTTGTTTGTTTAGCTAATTAAACGATCACAAACGAGCTTTAATCGAACGAACAACGAGTAGCTCGTCGAACGTTTGGTTCGCTTACAGCCCTAGTCAAAATTCTCAACTTCAAAATTCTCAACTATAAAATTTATATATATTAGAGAGCTTTGTTTGAATATTATCAATCTCTCCAAAGTTTATTTGAATTTTAGCTTAGACTAAAGTTCCATTTGAGTTGACTTTCTAAAGCAATTTTGTAGTATAAAATTTCTAATTAAAAAATTTTATATTAAAAATCTGTTTTAGAAAACAGTAAGAAAATTATCTCAAATCAAGTCTTTGATCGGTTCAAAGGAAGTGAGTCAAGTTATGAATCGAAAGCAATGATCAAACTTGCTTTGGAGCCAATTTTGAGCGGTATGTGGATTGATTCGAACAAATTTGAAACCAACTAAAAGTTTTTTATTTTTAAAATTATTTTTTATTTTATATAAATTTGCTTAATTGAATGTTAATAATAATTTTTGCTCAGCGACACGGGTGTCATGACCTCGCCATGGAGCTTGAAGTAGCGAGAATTAGACAATTAGATGAAATTTTCAAGCTTACCATAACTATTTAAAACTAGCTTCTTCTTCTTATACATTCATATAAAACTCCAAATATGAAACAAGTGCTACCAAATCAAAATTTTCATTCATTATAAAGATGTTCACATAAATGTTAAAACAATATGGTGGGCATGAAAGGGAATTGAAAGGAAAGTATCAACATCATTCTATACATAAATAAAACTATACAAGTACCTAAATTAGAGACCTAACACCTATTATAAGTAAAACTCTTTTCATCCGTTTAATCCATATGGTATTTACCTGAAAAAATATTTACAATTAAAGTGATGAGTTATAATATCGTGGCATTTTAATTATTTGGCATTAAGGGCTTGCAAATGTATGGAGTATTTCATCACACAAAGCTTTTCATATCATGATTTATGCTTTAGTTTATACATAATATAGTCATCTCAAGATCGTTGTCCAAAGCCCAACTTACCCCTTGCTAATATGTTCCTCGTCGGTGCAAGATTCATCTGTCGGGCTAGTTAAGAGATTCATTCTACTCTACGTACGTAGACTCCCAATGCTCTATATTTGATTTCAATTTCAATATTTTTACAAGAAGTTATAAAGTAAAGTGCATTTTCGATGAGTATAACAAACTTTTCTCCATGCAATTTTTAGCATACTATAAAACGTCGTATCATGATCATTTTAATTAATTGTCAGAAAATGATATTTCATTCGTTAGTTTTATTATGTTGAAAATGGAAATTCGACATTGGCTCTAATTCATTAAAAATCTTAAAATGATATTTTTAAAGATACCTTATAAATAGTTTTTCAAATACGTGTACATATGTATTAATGTTCATGCTCAATGTAAGTAGAAAGCTATGTAAATGTATTTTGCCACATGTCTGTCTGGGATTGGTTTAGATATAACCCAACTTCTGTAAGTTGTCTATAAATACCGGTTGTATTGAGATGAATAGAATACGGGAAACTATTTCTGTTTTTTGAATTTGTCTGAGCTCTCTCTCTACATGGTATCAGAGCCATGATCGTCACTTTTTCTCTCTATTTTTCGAGCTTATCACTTTTTTGTTAATCCCAACTAAAATTCAAGATGTCTTCAACGAATCAATCAGAAGCGGCTGAAGGGACGATGGAGTCTTCCGATTCTCCTCAAATTCCATCTGCTCTCAAATTTTTGATGAGTAACATCAAGAACATAAGCTCTGCAAGCCCAAGGAACATGGGACTTAGTTCCACCATCCCCAAATCAAAATGTTCTTGGCTGTAAGTGGATGTTTAAAACCAAATTAAATTCGGATGCATCTATGGCAAGATATAAAGCTAGATTAGTGGCTAAAGGCTTTAATCAAGAGCAAGGTATTGACTATACCGAGACGTTTAGTCCGGTAGCTAAAATGCCTACCATTCGGGTTCTTATTATTGTAGCACTGTTTTACAAATGGGAAATATATCAATTAGATGTTTCTAATGCTTTTTTACATGGGGCATTAACCGAAACTGTGTTTATGCAACAACCTCAAGGATATCAAGATACTACTCATCCTCATTATGTTTGCAAGCTAAAGAAGGCCTTGTATGGTCTTAAACAATCTCCAAGAGAGTGGTATGCAACATTATCAAATCATCTACAAGATTTTGGGTTTCAGATGAGTGCTGCGGATCCATCGCTTATGATATACGAAGCTGATTCAGTTCAGATGTACATATTGATATATGTGGATGACATCCTTTTAACAGGTAACTCACAAACTGAAATTACCAGACTTCTTAGAAATCTACATCAGCGATTTCAAATGCGTGATCTTGGATCCTTGAATCATTTTTTGGGTATACAAGCTGTAACAAAATCCTATGGCATTCTTCTTCATCAGCAAGCTTATGCAAATAGGATATTAGAGCAAGCAGGTATGACTAATGCAAAACCTGTGTCAACTCCTGTGCCAATCAAAACTGTACTTACTACAATATCGAAAACATAATTTGAAAATCCACAGCTTTACCGAACTTTGATTGGCTCATTACAATACTTAACACTTACTCGGCCAGATATATAGTGCAATATCAAAAATCTGCTCCAGGATCGTCC